ATTCATCTGCTGTCAACGTAAGGAAGGAGAGAGAGAAAAAAAAAACTTTCCCTTTTCACTTTCATTCGCTGCTTCCGAATCTTCTTTGGGAGCGATGTATCTTTTTTGAAATTTAAATTCCAGGATACCTTAGTTGTTGCTTCTTATCCCGGTCAGCCAAAACTTTCACTTCTTAACTTCCTCCTGCACTTTCTTTTCCAGCTGAGCGCTTCTTTGAGGCAGCCATTTCTGACCGCCGCTCTTACCGCCTTCGGAAAAGGGAGTTTAGCCAGCTGAGGAGGAGAGGTGCGGCTCCCCTCAAACCCTGCTGGGTCTCCCCTGTCTTCACCACCTCTATGGGGTGGCTTAGCCCCGAAGCCAGCTGGCTCGGGGCACTCCAGCGGTGAGCCCAGGCAGAAACCGCACGCGATCGCGGATTCCTGCCTGCCGCCGAAGCCCTGCAAACCGGAACTCCTGCAATTACCTTTTGAGGCTTTCCCTCCTTATGGAGGGTGTTGATGGTTTTTTGCACAACTGTCAGGTCAGCAGTCTTTCCCATGATTGTGGTTCCTACTGAACCAGACTGAGAGACCAGGAACCCTTTGCAGATGTTATGGCTTAATTAGCTGATTAGAGTGAGACACTTTGAGCCTAGAATATTGAACCTGTTCACAATATTCTAATTTTCTGAGATTGTGGATTGGGGTTTTTATGAGCTATAAGACATAATCATCTCAATTATGACACATCATGGCTTGAACTATCTTGCTTTGCATGTAATGAGTCTATCTCATATATTAGTTTCTCCTTTTAAGTTGCATTACTGAAATAAATGAACTTTTGCACGATATTCTAATTTTTCGAGTTTCACCTGTATTTAGCTAATCGGGAAAAGTATGAATCATAGTGGGGATAGTATAAGGAAGCAACAAATAGACAGTAGTAATTGTCAGAAACAGATTATTGATAAGTTTTTGAAAGTAAAATATGGTTTTCCATGAATATGATGATATATTAATACATTGTTTTATTTAGTTTTGATATGTAATCTGAGCTCCCCTCTTCATGACACTGATTCATAGTTCAGGTTTTGCTATCAGGTAGAGCAGGGGTGTTAAACTTGATTTCATTGAGGGCTGCATCAGGGTTGTGTTTGACCTCAAGGAGGCATGGCCAGCTGGATGTCACTCATGTCGGGGGCGCCTGTGGGGACCCAAACACTCAGCCAGTGGCCTCCCATGCTGTTTTCAGCTGTGGTGGCCTCCTGCTATCCTCTGAGAGCAGCCTCCCGAGCTCCATTTTTGCTGGCAGAGATACCATGGGCCAGTCCTTCACTGTTTCCAGGGTAGCCCCGTGGGCCAAATGTAAGCACCTCACACGGGGTGCTTGTAAGTACCCCACAAATCCGGCCTGCAGGCCTTGAGTTTGACATCCCTGAGGTGGAGGGTATAGAGGCTCTTAATCTCTTCTTAATCAACTCGTCTTTCTAGCGTATTCCCGCAGGTACAGGCTCCCCTTTTCAGATCTTTGCATGATCAGCTGCATCTCCAGGGCACAGGCCCGCAGCTTGTATATCTTTGTTGATGGTGTTTTGCAATCTCTGTTTTGGACGCCCGCAGGATCAGCGGCCATTAACTTTTAATTTGTAAACAGTCTTGGCAACGGTGGAAGGTGCTGCTCTCTGGACATGTCCATACCAGCAGAGTCAGACTTCTCTCATCTTCTCTGTAAATGGTACTACACAAAATGCTGTTGAATGGGGTCATTTGTGATGTGATCAAGAATGGAGATGCCTGATATCCAATGGAGCATTCACATTTCCATAGCATAGAGATAGCTTTCAGTCCCTTTTTTTCTGCCCAGCCTTCAGTGCCATACAGTGCAACAGGGAGGATGGTTGTCTTGTAAATCTTAGATTTAAGATTGGTTGGCATTTGTCTGTCACATAACACACCAGTGAGTTCTCGCCAATGCATCCAGGCTGCATTCACCCTTGCTTGCACCTCACCATTGATATTGCCATTGCCTTGGGGATGGGATTCCAGATACCAAAAAGTATCCACCTTCTTTAGGTTTTCTCCATTGATTTGAAGCATTCCAGGGGTAGTAACAGTCTTTAAGTACTCAGTTTTCTTGATGTTGAGTGAAGTCCGAAATGGTTGAGGCGAACATTCCATGTTTGAACTTGTTGCTGTCTCCTCTTGTGGTGGAAGCAAGCATAACATCATCAGCATAGAGCATAGTCCAGGGTGAGCTCTGCTGTAGGTCATGGGTGAGGGTATCCATGACCAATATAAACAGAAGTGGTGGTAGTGCAGAACCTTGATGCATCCGTCACCAGGAATCTGTTGGAGAGACTAGCTGGGCATCTCACTTGGCTGCTGGTGTTCTTATATAGCATTTGACCCAGTCAATGAGTGTTTCAGGTACTCCGTGATCCCGGAGGGCATACCAGATCATTTGGTGCGGAACATGATCAAATGCCTTCTCCAGGTCTAGGAATGCCATATGTAGTGGTTGTCTCTTCTCATGGTGTTTCTCTATGAGCTGATGGGCTGCAAAGATTGCATCAGTTGTTTCACATCCTTTAACGAAGCCACATTGGTTGATGGTGCATTGGGTGATTCTGCGAATGCATTGATCAAAGATTCTCTCAAAGATCTTTATAGTATGAGACAGAAGGTGGATTGGGCACAGTCAGTTGGGTCACCCTTGTTCTTGAAAATGAGAACTGTTAATGCTTATTGACCAATCAGTTGGTACAGGGCCAGTGTTCGTTACAACATTGAAGAACTCAGCCAGATTATCCCTGTGTCTCACACTTCTTTTAGTTTCCAGAAGTCCGCAGGCAGATTGTCAGGTCCAGGGGCCTTCAGGTTCTTAATTCTGTCCACAGCATTATGGATTTCTTCAGTTATAAATGGAACGGATCCATGAGTTGGGATGCCTTCTGGAATTGGTGGGTAACACTGAGTCAAAATTCACTACTGCAATATTTGAGAGTGATCAGCTTATAGTGATAGCCAAAAACCCAGAGCGTTCTCAAACTATTGCTTCTTCATTATTGAATTTAACTTCAGGAACTTACTGTGACATGGACCTCAGGCATTATTTTCAGAAGAGCTGAATCTGCTTTCTCAAGTCTATTTCAGTCTCTCTCTAACTTAAAGATTTTTTAAAAATCTGTTAATGAGCCATGTTGTTTTCCTCTTGCCTTCATTAACTGATTTCAAAGGAGTAACCCTATCTTTTGGAGAGGGGGAAATAGAAGGCAGAACATAATTATTTCTTTGGAAATGACTGGACATAAAGCAGCAACAGGTGTGACACAGGCATTATTATATTAGCTGGTTAGTATAGATAACATGAGAAAAAATAATCCTTATTTAATCCATGAGAAATTGTGCTACATTTAATGAATGCATGAATTCCTAGTTACAGAAATCGGTCACTTCCTTTTCTTGTTAATATAATAAAGAGTACATATTCACATCTACCTACTAATATAGGATTTGTCACCTATAAAGCAATTGTTTTTCTATTATCATTCTTTTTCCTTCCTTTTCCCAACAAACAGCTGTGATAATATATTTAATAGGATTATATTCTACGCACTTGAAGTGGTAGATCAGGGGTGTCAAACTCTATTTCATTGAGGGCCGCATCGGGGTTGTGTTTGACCTCAGAACTGAGGGGGTGTGGGGTGTGGCCGGGGGCGTGTCCATGGTGGGTGTGACATGTGACTAGTGTTGGGGGCACCTGTGGTAACCAAGTGTTAAGGCAGGACCTCCTTGAAACTCTCCCTCATTCTCATAATCTTCCTTCTCTCCTTCCTTCCTTCTTTCCTTCCTTCCTTCTCTCCTTCCTTCCTTCCTTCCTTCCTTCCTTCCTTCTTCTCCTTTCCTTATTTTTCCTTCCTTGATTTCTTTCCATCTTCCCTTCTTTGTCTTTGCTTTTGCCTTTCCTTTTTCCTTTTCTCCTTTCCTGTCCTGTCTTGCCTGCTCAAATGCAAAAGGGAAAACGTTTATCCTTTTTTTGATAGCTCTTTGCCAGCAAAAAACCCCGCACCCCATTTTTGGCTTGGACGACTTCCTGCAACTCTCTGCCAGAGAAAATGGAGCTCAGGGGGGTGCGCCCCCTTGAGCTCCATTTTCACTAGCAGAGGCACTGCAGGCCGGTCCTTTGCTGTTTCCAGGCTGGCCCCATGGGCCAGATCTAAACACCCTGTGGCCTTGAGTTTGGTACCTCTGTGGTAGATTGTGATTCATAAAAGTTTGTGTGATAATATATGTATTGCTCTTCAGAGTGTGACAAGGCAATTTCTAATAACTATGGTCACCACTAGTGTCATTCTTAATGAACTGGTAAATCTGTTGCCTATCATTTGCCTATCTCAGGACAGGTCCGAACTCAGATATCAATAAGTTTTATCATATATTTCCTGTGCATAGAAAATTATACTATTCACAATGGAATGGTTCCCTCTGTAGTTTTCTCCATGAAGGGAATATTTTTATCCACAGGGACAGTTCACTTTTTATATTCCTGGCTTCGTACCACTATTGCAGGTCATCTTGGAAATTACTTGTGATTCTAATGCCTCTAGTTGATATATCTTCCATTTTGTACCTTAAGCCAAGATCCTATTTTCTAACATTACAGTGCCTCCTTTTTTCTATAAGGCTTATATCCTATCTAAATCTCTTATCTAAAACTTATCCATATTTTCTTATCTCTTTGTGAAAGGTTCGTAGCATAGTCCTTTAAGTATGAGCATATAAATGGATCAGTTATTGCTTTGAAATAATAAATGGAGGGATTACATGTTGTTTTGTTTTGTGAGGGGAAGTTTGAAAGATACTTCCTGATATTGGATATTATAGCAGGCATACTATATCTCTTTATCCTTCTTAAAATCCTTTCAGTGATTAAGGGATAATCTGAATTTCTTTGAGAGCTTGGTAATTATGGACAGTTCTGTTGAAATTATCTGGATCACAAAGATCTTTAATTCTTCACAGCAAAAAAGCAACCTGAGAGTGGAGAGGAAAAGAACCAAGCTAAGAAGAAAGTCAAGGAGCTGAGAGTGCTAGATTCAAAAAATGCTCAGAATCTTTGTGAGTATGATTTGATATGATTACGGAGAAATTTCTATCAATGAAAACAATTAATCAGTGGAACAGCTTGCTTCCAGAAGTTGTAAGTGCTCCATTAACTGGAGGTTTTAAGAAGAGACTGGATAGTCAGTTGTCTGGATTGGTATAGGTTCTTCTGCTCAAACGGGTTGGATTAGAAGACCTCCAATGACCCCTCCACTGTTATTCTGTAATTCTGCTGGGAAAGTTTGCCTAAGTTACCTGTGAAAACTTTCAGAAATTATTGGAAGGCAGGAAGGAAAAGTCAGGAAAGGTAAATTTCTCTGATTTTAATATTTGGATATGCCAATAATTTGGTTAATTGTGCTTCTCTTTAAATGTGGCAGCAATTTTTTTGGGCTCCTTTCGCTTGCCTTATGAGGAAATCAAGAATGCCATCTTGGAAGTAAATGAAGCTGTGTTGACTGAATCCATGGTACAGGTGAGAAAGACTAGAGTGTGTGATCATATTTTCTCTTTAGAGTGCAAGTCTGCACTGCTAGTATCCATTAAGTTGAACTCAATCTCCAGTAGTTCTGGAAACTGAAAAGCATTTATTTTGCTATCCAGGATTGTAAGAACAGAGAGAGATTGTCAAGAACTGGCAGCCCCAAGGTTTCTGTTTGATAGGTCATACATTGTTCAGATTTGGGTATATAATAATCAGGATATTTTATGCTGTCATTTAATTCCTTGTATTTGAATATTTGCTATTTAGAGGCATATCAAATTATGTCAAAGGAGTTCCATAGTTTGAAAGACACATCCTTAGACTAGTTTTTTCTAGGTCAATATTATCATATTTATTAGAAGCTATTCCAAGCAACTGTATCTTTTTAACTTCTTTCTCAGAATCTGATTAAGTTAATGCCTGAAGCAGACAAATTGAAGATGATTGCAGGACTGAAAGAAGAATATAATGAACTAGCTGAGTCTGAGCAATTTGGAATTGTGGTAAGTGATTATCCATTGTAGAAGAGGAATCATATCTTTTTCAGAAAAGAAATAACAAGCACATACAATGTAAGTTTGTCCCTTTTATTTTTTCAGACAGTCTGTCACATCATTTGCTAGGATGACCCACTGTTGTGTCTACTACGTTATATTAAATGCTTCATTTTTTTCTTAGCTTTGAATATAGTCCTTATGTTCTACCCTACATGTCTCCTGAGTTATTTGAAATTCTAAAATTTTCATTTGTGCTCTAGTCTAGACAGAAAAAAATGAAATTCTGATTTTAGGATTTGCTGATTAGATTTATTTGTTGCTATAAAAATGGCTAGTATATATTAAGTATGCAAAACCAAAAAGTTGAGGTTGTAACTTTATTCCCTTTATTCTACTGCCCTGAAGAGTTGGAAGCTTTTTTCTTCTTTTTTCCCCTTTATGCCCTTTTTTCCTTCCCCCACTTTATTTTTCTTTACTTTCACTTATATGTTATAGAAATATACATTTTGTCCTTCACACTTCTGAAGCTTAAACAATAAGGGAAGGAGTATACTGCTATTCAAGGGGAAATTTTAACAGAAATGGAATGGTCCAACGCCCTACTCAAAAGGAGACTCTACACCATTCCAAACAAAAAAGTGTAAAAACCTTCAATAAAGGAGCACCCACAACTTCAGGAGGCAAAACATTCCATAAGATAGAAGGAGATTGGAAGAAGGAATTGGGGATCCAGTTTGAAAGCGAGAAGAGTAAGAAGAATAGAAGAATAGAAAGTAGCAGAAGGAAAGTGGAAAGTAAAGCTGAGATTTGGAGGAGGAGAGAGGAACACATAGCAGAACTATATTGAAGGACATGTTTGACGTTGCCAACAGTGAATGACTAAGTAAGACCATTGGACTACCTATTAAGCTTAAATTAAGAGAAGTCAAGAGACTTTGGAAAAAACATATTCATATTCTGTCTGCTTATTGTAATTAAAAAAAGTTATATATTACTCATATGCAGTTATAGATACAATTATATATTTATATTGAAGTATCTATACTATTTTCAAATTTGTATATATTTAATTTATAATTGTATTCTTTCTAATAGAGATATTGATTAATTAGATTACTAGATTGATAAGATTGTAATAGACAAATTACTGTTGAATTATTTATTTACTGAACTATTAATGAATTATTACTTAACATAATTATTATTCAATAGAATTAAATAACTCTTAGTATATAGACTAAAAGGAATTAAGTAATATATATAAGATTAGAGCTTTATGAGGAAGTTGGGGTGAGAAGTAAATATCTGTGGTATTTGTATGCTTTGTGATCTGTAGAGATATAGTGAAACTGAAAGATTTAAGTAGTTAAATAATAAGGAGAACCTAAGAGGTTGGGTTAATTTGCTAGACAGAAGAAGACAATTAAAATAAAAAGTAGAGAAATCAGTAGGGAAAAGAGACTGATATAAGCTAACTCTTAAATAAAATATAAAGTGGATGGTACTGTGGGCAGAAATAAACAGAAGCCTTAGAAATACGACAAGTGCCATAACAACAAAGAAGACAACATCTAATCCATCATTGACAGTTTCATCACCAGCTGGCCAAAAGACGATTGAGGGAATGTTGGGTGCGGAAAAACAAAGCGCAACATCTAATATACAGACAATACAG